CTTATTTTTATAATACACCTTTAATCACCCTAGTGTACGACAATCATTTACCCGACTGTGAAGCGAATATTGCCCGACTGGCCTTGTTTGCCCAACAAACTGGGGGGGCTGCCGCCCCCCCCCCCCCCCCCCCCCCCCCCCCCGCCCGGTACGCCCATGTTTGTGGTGATAACTTGTACATTCATGATGGGTTATTCTTAGTGTGTTTAGTCGCTAAATGACAGCAAGAAAACACAAATGTTTTGTTTTCATTGTGCTCTAATTCACTGTAGTCGTATAAATGAGTTTATAGCGTTTTCCAAAGAAATTTTCATAAGGTATCCCTTAAACATTTTTTTCCTTTCTGGGCAAGTTTATAAAATAGACTTTGCAGGCAAATATGCCCAGCTCACTCAGTGATGAAGACTTGCCTGCACCTTGTAAATTTGTTTATCAGAAAGGCAAGGTGATTCTCTGTTTATATTCATAAAAAAAAATCATATTCGAGTTGATGGTTTTTTTGAATTTATTTCAAAAGACACCCTTTCTACTAATTCCATGCAAGATCTGTATTCGATCGAACATAGCTAGGTTATAGCATAAACATACAATTACGTGAGCAAAGATGGTCTCTCAGATTTCGTATCATTTTTCTATTTGTAAGCAAGTTCATCTGTTGCCACTTTTATTTACGAGTGAGTAAAAATAGTTTTAAAACGAAAAATGTCGGAATATTTTGGTAAAAGACAAGTCTTCTTGTAAGCATAGTAGAGAATCTGCAGCTGATGAAAGCTTAACAACAGGGGAAGTGACACCTAAGGGAAATGATAGAGAGCAACCTGTTGCTGATTTTGCAAATTGTTTTGTTTAATATTCAATCCCCTTTGTTTTAGGAGCCAATCATCTGGCAATGTTCAAAAAAGTTAGAGCCAATTGGAAGCCGCCTTATTGAGAGACTAGCTACTGGGGAAAGCCCTTGCACATGCATTGGAATATATTGTTTGGGTTGAAACTTGAAATTTGTTTACTTGCGTGGATATATTTTGGAAACTATAGCATTGAACTTCACAACGTTTACGTGGAATAACATTGTGATCATCATCTCGCATGTTCAGCAAACAATTGGTGTATATAAAGTACTAAAGCAATGTAGCAGGCGAAATTGAAATTTTTGTTAAGAATGACAAACAATCAATCAGGAAACTCGAGTATATCAGGATATGTCCAAATGTTGCTCTTGATATTTCCTATATGCCATGACTTCGACAAAAACTTCTAAAAGATTAAGTTCTCATTGTCATGTAGAAAAGTATAGCCAAGTTAGTATAAACGTTTTGAAGTTTGAGCGAATTGAAAAATTCATCATGGCACAATTTTAATACAAGTTTCATGGGTTTGTGTTGTGTTTACAGTTTACATTCAGAAGTGGTTGCTCAAACAGCAAAATTAGTTTACTTTGAAGCTAATATTTCGCTTTCTAAGCCACAGTATTATATAAAATTTTCTGTCTTCCAAGTTCTATTGTCTTATAAAGATAAACCGTTAAAATTTCAGCGAAATATATTCGGCATTTGATGCTGTCTGGCTAAGATTCATACAGCATAAATATGCCAATCCTGTCCCCGTTTTAAATATAACCGAACATCTTTAATATCCAAATCTGATCATTAATGGTGCATTTTATCACCTGGACAAGTATCAGTATCTTTAAATTCAATTTATGTGCAATTTTGGCCAAAATTCAACCGACGACTGCTTTCAAAATATATATTTATATTTATTCCGCTCCTAAACCAACTGACGTCACTTTCCAGAATTTGGAAGGTAAATTCTGATTGGTCAACATAGTGGAATTCAGTTTGGCGCTTGGGTAAGCAGACCGTAGTATTTCGTTGCTTGGTGTAAGAACAACGTCTATGAACAGGCTACATGCCTGGTAATTTCGATGACTTGCACAGAGATACAGAAAGTGAATGCCTGTCCAGTTTGGAGGAGGGTAAGCTATTGCAAAGTCTTGCATACAAGTTCAGTAAGGTCAGTGCTAACTGTGCAAATAGGTTTCCAAAGTGAAAGGTTATCCCTGATGTTAAAGAATCAAAAATAAATCTCTATTATATGGGTAACAGTCCAATAAACGTACAGTATCAAGTAATTGTGTTATCAGATGGAAGTTATTCCTTTGTTTTCATGGGACAGCCCAAAATATTGAATTTTGATAACAGTGTTATTCCACCAGCAGTTCATGACAAGAGTCAGTTGTACTTACTCATGAAATCTCTTGAGAAATTGCATGTATGTTCTGGTGTTTCGGTTGAAAATTACCAAGATCTATTACCTGATGATGACAATACCCCAGTGTATAAGACAACTAGTGGAGACCCTACTGCATTTGTAGAATCTGTGCCAGCACATTGTTGCAAAAAAACCATTTAAGATCCACAAATTGTGACATATTAATTGAAGATGTTGCATGTTGCAAAGCTTGTTTACAGACAAATCACTACACAAGGACACTTAAATCAAGAAGCAACAACATAGGTCACATTCCTAATTATAGTCAATATGATAATATGTCAAAAGATAAGTTACTTGAGTATAGCAGAGAAATGGCAGACAAAATTCATGTGATGCAGATCAAAATAAAAAGGCTTGAAGAATACCAAAGAGAAATGATCACAGTATGAAGTAATACAGAGTCAGATTTTAGAAAATTATTTCAACAACTATATAAAGGACTGAATAAAATGGTTGAGAAACACAATAACAACACTTCTTTGTTATTGGGAAGGTTGTAATTTGGAAACAGAGTTTAAATCGCCAGAGTTGCTACTTGGACATATAAAAAGTGTACATATTAAAACAGTCGACGATGTTGCATCAATTAACAGGCAATATACTTGTGAGTGGTTAGGCTGCAACAAACATTTTGGGACACATAACATAACATTTGGGGACATAACACTTTTGAATGACCAAGCAAAGGCTTTAAATTTGCCTTCAAAACAAATGAGGTGGCATCCTTTGATATAGAAGTGGTGTCGACGAATGTACTGTAAATCCCCCAGCATGTACACTGAGCTGCGAGAATCTGGTTTTTTGAAAATTCCCAGTGGAAGAATTCTTTCCGACTACATGAAGAACATCTGTTCTTCAAAGTCTGGTTGGCAAACGTCAGGGTGTTAGCCAGAAGTAAAAAATCTGTGTTTACCTGAAATTGGGAAATTTATTTTAGCCTGAAGTCGGGCATTTCTTTGTGGATCTGGGGGCATGTGGTTGCCCTCTGGATTTTTAAAATTTTTGTGTCTTTGAAATGGCATTTCCCACATTTTGGAAGTAATTTTGAGCAAATGTAGTTATAAACATGTTTTCAATGGCATATTAACAACATTGAATTTCTATAACTATTTTTTGGCTGACCCAAATTGGGAAATTGCGATCTCAAGGTAATAGGGAAAACGGTGTTTAACACGGAATTTTTTACTGTAGCTAACACCCTGAATGTCTTATTTTCTAACAAGAGGAATATCAGCTCAAAACTTAAACAGATTATTTTGGAAAGTCATTCTGACATGTTGTGATGGCGCTTCTGAGAATAGAACTTTCATGGCAATGAACGGTTGCAATGAAACGACAAGCCAAACAAATAACCCATTTTCCAAACTCCCTTTGTCCTTCACGTCTGACGCTCTCCATTTAACTCATTCTCATCCGGTCGAAAAGTAGCAATTTTGAGTGGTGTTGTTTTAAATGCATATATCTTTCAAACTATACATTGTACGGAAACAGAAATTGCATCATTCGAAAGAGGAGGTCTTCCGCTTTCCAACGATACCAATTTGAATTTCATCCCGAGCTTGGTTAACGATTTACTCGCATAAATTATGATATAAAAAAATGTTCCAATTATGCATAAATGTATTTACTGGTTCAAATTTCAAATATGTCAAAAATTGTATGAATGTAATTGAAAGATCCGGTTGTGATCTACATGTACCCGAAGTTTCATGCATGTAGCATAAATGGAAGTATTTTTATTGAATTTTTGAATAAACTATGTAGTGGAGTAAAATTTTCCATTTTGTGCTCACATGGAACAAATACCCTTATCAAAAGTCCTTTTTCATTGCTGCAACATATTATCAATACGAATTTCCAACATTTCTTACTCTCCAAGGATAGTATGGCACCAAAATAAGTCTGTGATACCCACAAAAGAACACTCAAATCACTATTTGCAAAATGTCTTTATTTCTACGGTTACTATATACATTCTTAGATAATCAGTACACCATTCACTTAGTTATCAGTGGCATAACCAGCCTGAACTTTGGTCATGCTATTCAAATTTTAAATAATCATTACTCATTTCTTGAGAAATTGATTGTTTTCACAATCTAGAACATGAAAATATTTGCATATAGCATGACCAAGTGTTGTTGGGCTGGTGTCATCATTAGTAATTATAAAAAAGTAATGTTTTCCAAGGTCTGACCATATCAGTGATTATCCTTGTTCTGTTGTGCGATTGTCTGCCCAAGATTATTTATTGACTTCAGTAGGTTATCTGGTGTTTTGTTATGGAGGTCATTGGTTCCAATGTGAATAAGTTTGTCCAGCGTTGTGTTCAGGGTAGGAACGATATGTTTCATTTGATCAATTCCTGCACCTGGGAATGTTTTAATATTAATTTTCTGTTTACTCAGTCCATTTTGCATTCTTTTGATATTCAAATGTTTAAGCATAGAATCCAGTATAGCAATACTGGGTTTATTGAATTGGGAATCATGCCTATCACATCTCTCCTGGTTGCTTTGTTGACTCTTTGGTTCAGTTCTTTTGGTTTGGGCATATTCGTTCGTTCGTTTTTTCTTCCTCACTAGGTTGTTTGGCATTTTGAAGCACTTGATTCTTGTTATTATGTTGTTTTAGATTATCTCTGTCCAGGGGTTTACTCACTTGAGATGTTATAACAATTTTGTGTTCATTGTGTGTGTCACTTAAAATGGAATATCGATTGTTTGATCTTAATGGTTCACCATTGTTTGATGTTTTATCGGTGGGTGGTATGCTTTGTCTTTGGATCTTCTTTTGTTTGGTTTCAACACTCCATGGCTGTTCATTCTGTTGATCCTCCTGTAGAATCTTAATTACAGTAATTAGGCTGTTTTTCTTGTTATTTAAGTCCTTGATTTTAGCGTTCATATCCAATACTATAAGTCTATAATTATTAATTTGTTCGATTAGTGAGGAATTTTCATTCTGAGGAAATTTCTGTACTCTCCGTCTGATCCAGTATTGCTGTGCGAGTCATGGCCTTTCCCACACACTTGATTAACTCCTGTATTTCTCTTACAAGATGCTCAAATTTGAGCTCGAATCACTCTTCAAGATTTTGTATGTAATCACATACTATTTCATGGGTTCCCACATCAGTTCTACTGTTAGAGATAGCTTTATCTTCATCGAGGTCAGTACTAATATCTGACTCGATAAGGTTTACTATAGTTTTTAGTTGCGATTTTATTTTGTTGCTTGCTTCACCGTTTATCTTAAGTGATCTGGTGTTGGGATACCATCTCAATACAAGGTCGCTTAATTCCAGTTTTTTGCAACCACCAGTTGCAATCCATGTTGTTTGCTTGCCCAGCAATTCGTGCACGAAGATTACAAGATTTTCAAACGAATCGTCCTGTCTAAAACTTCCCTTATTTGATACAGTAAGGTACTTGGATATATTATCCTTGTTTCCCGAAAATCTTCAGTAATATTTGTTGCTTTATCATTAAAAATACTTTTTTGAGGTCGGAGCTCACGCTCGAAGCTCCTTCCACAATTATGACTAATATTGTTCATTCACTGTTGGTGAAAATGTCGAATATTCAAAACTCAAATAAGTAACCTTTGAATCTTTCACTCTCTGAGTTAGATATAGCAACTTTATTTGTGCACACTTTAATCTTTATACTATTGAATTATATATGCAAGTAATGCAAGTAATGATATCATTGATATCATTTACATTGATCTCACTTCATTATTTTATACCTTATTCTAATTAATTGAATTGATGTGAAATTGTGTACTTCCCTTCCAGAATAGCTCTGCTAATTGCAGATTTGTATAACTCTGTGTTTATTATAAAGTTGATCTTAATTTAATAAATTGAATTGAAACCTCCCAAATCCTTCAACAAATTTCATCAACACACAAAGAAATCAACATTGCATGCAATAACGAAGGCGAGAATTGAAAATTAAAATCACAAGTGTAGCATGAAATCACTCGAATCAGGTAAATGACATATGCCTCCTTATCAACATAGATGTGTTCGTTATAAAGAACACAAAATACTGGTAGGTGATCGGATATATCTGTGAATAATAAACCACTAAAACAGCAACTCTCAAGGTGATTTGTAAATATGTTGTCAATAAGTGTGGCTGTGTAAGAGGTTATTCTAGTAGGGCGTGTTATCAAAGGGAAAAACATATGTACTATTTACAACATGAGCAGCCCTGTTGTATCGGATAAAAAACGACTCATCTTATGAGTTCATTGGAGACATAATTTTAAAAATAAACGTTGTCTAAGCCGAGAAAATCAAAGTGAAAGTTTATGTAAATCAACATGAATCTGTATCACAGATACGACATGCTTATGATTTTTCTGAGTTTTTTAATAGAGTACATTATATCCAGAAATTCATTTGTAAATTGATGACAATGATAGTTCATTAAGTTTAAGTTAAAATCACCAATTAAATAACAAAGCTTATTTTCTTTAGATATATTTGTCATTAAAATCTCAGTACTTTTAACAAATTCACCCACACTCTGGTTTGGAGGCCTATAAATAACACCCACAATAATATGTTCTTCCCTTTGGGATGACAGATTTCTATAAAAATTGATTCTATACATGGATCATCAAAAGTTATATTACGATGCTTAAATTCTAATTCAGAAGCTAAGTACATACCAACGCCCCCACCTGTTCTATGACTACGATGATTGTGCACAAAATTATAACCCTCTATATCACAAGTGTGTTGTGAGTTAGATAACCATGTTTTAGAGATGCCAATAACAGAAAACCTATTATCAATATTAGCAAGCAAATTTGTCAAACTACGAGCGAGGCTACTCATATTTAAATGAAGAAAAGATAAACAATGCAAATTAGTAGGTGTTGTACTTGTCATCATCTCATTAAATTTCTGTTCCGTGCAATAATCGTATTTGAACTTGTTCGTATAGAAATTAGAATCCAAATCAGTAGAGAGGGCTAAACTTTTGTGACAATCAGATAATAAAGTATTAAATATCATATTATTTAAACGATCTATGTAAGAACAAATAACTTGCATCAAATCTCTCTACAGGATGCTTCTTTCTTTTAGTTTTTAGGGAATCGATTAAATTTGACAATTTTTTTCATCTTTTCTTTTATAACAGTTATAGTTGACCACTCCAGTGGACGGAAGAAACAGGCATGCTGTTACTGTGGGGTGATGACTCTGAAGATGCCACGCCACATGACACGAAAACACTCCAAGGAAGCAGATGTAATCGCAGCACTTAAATTTCCAACCGGATCGGCCGAGAGAAAAGTGGCAGCAAGGCATAAATTAAAATTGTGGGGGAATTATCACCATAACATGACTGTGATGGATGGTGGCAAGGAAACCATATACCGATCCGGTCATACCATTGCTGCTGCTGACTTCCACAAAGCAGCATTTATGCAGGAGAACCCGCATGGTAACCAGTCAACGACAAAATCCATCCGGGTGAGCTACAAGCTAATGCTCTTGGGCACTTTGAAAGGAAACAATACCTGTACCATGCTAAATCATGTATTGGCGACACGTTAAGGAATGATATTGGAATGGTAGCCAAAAATGATCAGCTCATTCTGGGGGTTGGAAAGTTCTTCGTTGAGAAGCATGGTATCGCCAAAGCTCAGGATTCAGATCTTGCAAGAATCCTGATGCAGAGCTTTCCGACTTCATCACTCTGACACAGTTGCGGAAGCCATGAAAGAGCTTTGTTCGTTTGAAACAAAAGAGGGCCACCAAAGTGTAAGCGTACCATCCCTGACAATAAAGATTGGCTATGTGCTAACAAATTGTGTCAAAGTTGTTGTTGGCAAGGCAATAAGAGAAGAGGATGAGGTGAAGGAAAAGGTGACCGACAATTTTCATCGACTGTTGGTCAATGAATGGGCCACACAAATTTACCATCTTTCCACAAACACCTTAAACACAAGGAAAAATTCAATAAGGTCAATGTATTGCCTCTTGCCGAAGATCTGGCAAAACTAAGAACTTACATTGACATTAAAAAAGTCAAATTCCTTTAAATCACTAGAAAAGTATCCAAGATTGGAGTTTCTTGTCACAGACAATGTTGGCAAGAATGTTTATCTACAACAAGAGAGATATCAAAACTTGCCATAAAGGATTACCAAACGAGAGTAATCTGGAATAGCGTCAACACTGTGGAAATCACCCAAGTTATTGGATAAGTTTGAGCATGCACTATAAAAAAGTAAGTACCAGTATTAATCCATCAATATTATACCCAATACAGTAACTAAATTTGTTAAAGATGGAAAAGTATTCCACATAGAAACCTGCCTGAATATACAGTAAATACAAATATGATTTTAAGATAAGTTTCTTGTGTGAGAAAAGTTTCTTGCCTAACTTGCTATGTGTTTGTATGAGAAAGACTAGATAGTTTAGGTAGTGTAGTTTTTACCAATTTTTTTGTGAATTATGAAACCCTTTCGTTTGATTTTCAGGTAAAACTATTCAAGGAAATCTGATTATAAAACAAAACTATAGGTACTCCATAAGAACAAGAAAATAAGTGTGCAGTTTACCCAAACGTTTGTCAAATTTCTCTTCTTTAATAAGGCATAATTTGATATATTAGTGTTTTAATTTATGCTATGTGAACTATTGTGGAAGATCAATATAAAAAAGCTTGAAATCAGCATTTTTCTGGCTTCTTTCACCGAACACTTTGTAGAACTACACCTAAAATTAGTTGGGCAATGTCCATACAATCTATCATAATGCAAATCTGTCATGATGCATATACTTAAGACATATTATAATATGTTTCTAGGCTTGATATGGTTGAAATTAGAGGGAAAAGAGGGGGGAAGGCACCAATAATCCTGACCAAGCACACAACAGAGAGACAACCACTATGTCTTCGCAAAACCAACGAAGCAGCCCCTAGGCCACATGAGAGCATGCGACTGCTTGATAAAGTTCATCAAGGAGTGCCAGCCACCACTCTCCAAACCCGACGTGACAATTGAGAAAATATATCACAACAATTTCTCAAGTGCTCACACTCAAGGAGACGGCCTGGCACAAAATCTCGGCCATGATGTCAGAATTTATGGTGAGTATTACCGCCTACACAAATCCACAATCGAACTTGCCAAGGTTAGGAAACTCCTAATGGCAGTGGACTCTGGAAATACAATGAAATGGGTGGGGGAAAGTCTATCGGATATCGATCTAGGTAAGTGGTAGCTCATGCACATCTGTATCATTTACACTTTTTATTGCGACTTTAACAGGCATGCATCCCACTGACCTACATAAAGCTGGACTGAGCGCTCGAGATAAAAATTGCCAGGTCATGATAGATCTTCATGAAAATAAATGCATACCAGCTGCATACTGCTATTTTTTGACATTATTGGTGCTCATGGGCAAATGTGTATTTCTAAAATTTCCCCAAATTTTAATATTTTTTCAAATCTGTTGTTTTTTTCCGGAGACTTTACTGTTTTTGGTAAATATTTACTATCATCAAGTAGCAGTGTATTTTCCTGTTGCAAGTTCCCTTAATTGTAAATAAAATTATGGTTTCTGTTTATATACAGGATCACAAGAGCTTCGGGGGCCAATCCATGATGGCTGGTATGAATGAGCAAGTAACCCCAACCGTAATTTCATGAATAAGAAGAAATAACTTGTACCAAATTTCTACAGGATTAGTTTTTAGGGAATTTATGTAATTTGACAATTTCTGTCATTTTTTTTTATAACAGTTACAGTTGTCCACTCCAGTGGATGGAATAAACGGGCATGCTGTTACTGTGGGGTGATGACTCTGAAGATGCCACACCACACGACTCGAAAACACTCCAAGGAAGCAAATGTCATCACAGCACATGGCTTGGATCGGCCTAGAGAAAAGTGGGAAGGCATAAATTAAGATTGTGGGAGAATTATCACCATAACATGACTGTGATGGATGTTGGCAAAGGAAACCAAATGAGTCTGTCATCATCTATCTCGCATCATCAATTTCGTCAATTGGAAAAAGATAATTTTGATGCAGAGCGTTCAGACTTCATCACTCCAATACAGTTCAACAATTGTGGAAGCTGTGAAAGAGCACTTGAAGAACAATTTCCTTCCACAACCGTTGTTTATATTTGTGATTTCCACAGAATCCAAGCCATGCAAAGATGGGAGAAAGCAGGCAAAAAAACTAACTACGGAAAAACAAGAAACGTTCTTGAACTGAATGCAAAGAATATCATATGCAACTGAAAAGGGTGTGTCAATGTTATTAATACTAAAATGGGACGGAGGCAATGAACAAATTATTCAAATATTAATTTTTTCCACGGTCGGTAGATAAATCTGTATATGCATGGTATTGCAACCACAATTGTCTCATGAAAGTTTCATTCCTGACTCATGTCAATAATATGCAAAGTAACCGGATGTTTAGCAGAGACAGGCCACCACAATTTGTAAACCATTACCTAAAAAGTCTTTATGCTGCTACAGAATACCAATACTCTGATATTTCAATGGTGAATTTTCAAAAAGGCAAATTTAATGTCAAAAGCAAGACCAATCCTGATGAAAAGCACCTTGTGAACTTGAGCACATGGACGAGGATTTGGCAGTCTCAGAAAATCCAAAGTGTGTCAAAGCCAACATGGAAGTTGATGTGAATGAATGTGACAAATCAAAGGTAGTAATCGAGGATGATGAAATGGAGTTGTCGTGTAACAAGGGGACTTGTAAAAAGAGTGTTGTAATTATTCTAGAAAATCTGTTAACACTCAATTTACACATTGAATTTACGCATGTTAGGAGATTACATAACGTCATTTCATTACACAGAAATCGTCACCCATGGTTTAAAATGGTCACTATTTACACTTTTTCTGTAGAAAACAGAAGAAACAGTAATCAGTCTGACTCTAGATATTGAGAATGATCCACTGCCAGACTGTGACATTGGAGCTGATCAACCAGGTGAAAGTGAGCGATGTGATGATAATTCGCAAAGGTAAAGTTCAGCATTCTGGGATGGTGCAGAATGCTACACTGCACCATCCCAGTCTCTTCCTCAGATTGACTGTAAAATGTACATTCTTATCTTTAAAATTAGAATTAGTATTAGCAAATGGGTTAGGATTATTTTTTGTAATAATTCCTAATAAATTTTTAAAATTTGTTTCTAAGTTGGTATGTGCAGTCAACCTGAGCTCTTAAGAGACTGGGCTGTCTGTGCAGTGGTATTAGAAACTTTTACTGAAGTTTTATATTTTGGTAGTGTAAATTTCTAGTAGTAACTTATGTGTGGGGTTTGCCTTTTTAGGATGTCGAGTCGTCTGTTTGCCAATCCCATATCTAACTCGCCTTTGTTTGTTGTAATGTCTTTTATTTTGTTCTCACATAGCATTGTAAATTTCCTAGCAAGTTTCATTAAAGCTTAAAATTGCCATGCAGCTAACAATTTTTATATTAGTTATTCTTGGGTTTCATATGTCACAAAAGTGACAGGGGGGGTCAACTCTAAAACAAAAGACAGTTATCAGAGTGAGTCGATTGTTCATTTTATGCATAAAACGAACAATCGACTCACTCTGATAACTACCTTGTGTATAGTGGCAAATACATGGAATTTCGTATCATTATCTCACTCCAGTACAGCATAAGCATCAATACATTTGAGGTTGACCCCTAGTCAGATTCACTGCATAATGCCGTAGTGAAAACCAAGAATTAATAATTTATTAATTTAACCAACACCTGTTACAAAAACTAATCTCTTCCAATTATTTCCTTTTACCTCACACAGAAACACAGCGACAAAGAAGGGACTCAAGATACACGATGTATTGTTAGATGTTGGGCCAACAAAATTAACCATTGGTGTCATGTGGACGTAACCATAGTTCCGAAACATTGTCTTTAACAAATTTCCATCCAGGCTGGCTCATAGATAAGGTTAGTCTAGTGAAATAGCATGCCGTACTAGTATACAACATATGCAAGCCATTCAGGTTAAAAAGAAAACCTGCCATACAGTAGGACAGTTCCGCTGCAGTTTTGGTAGAGAATGCAGCCTTTCACTGGCACAAGTTTAGAAAACCTGTCGCAATAATTTACATTAGACATTGATCAATATCTGGTCATAATAATAATGCACGTAGTATCAAAACATACAGGTTCTTGAACAGTTCTTAATTTTCCAGGTGGTGGAAACAGCTCTGTGGAAGTTCACTTTGAAATATGATGTTTTTGCTGTAGATGCAACTTTGGCAACCATTGCTAAACGTGGATCCAGCACCTGTTTGCTTTGGTCAGGCCAAAGTTTTGTGTCTGTTTCGAAAATATTTATTCGTATCAATGAACATGAGATTCATTGGACATTACTGGTGAGAATATCATTCATACTGATCTATGTTAAATTGCTCGTTTTTCATAAAGGAAAATGGCAATAAAAATTAAGTTTGTCTCATTTGAAAGTACTTTTGGTATTATGTATAAAGACATTTACAATTTTACTCCATCTTCTTTGAGAGACATTTTGACCAGAAACAGTATGTAGTCCGTTATCTTATGTTTATATTTGACCTAATTAACTGACATTTTGATGACATCATACCTGTTAATATTACTATGTTGCTGACTTCATTGAAATGAAATAAATTTACTAACATGCTGTGAAACAACCTAAAATACAGGCTCATAATGAGATATGGTTGACAGAATACAAACTTCTCCATGAACCAAGATGCTTTTGAACCAAAATGCAATTCATTATGGACCCCATGAATGGCCAGAAGGAAAGGACAATTGTCATATTTAGCCTTTTGGTTATTACAGTTAGCTACTACCTTCTTTTTTTAATTCTATATTTATTTCGTTCCAATTCCACATCTCATCAATAAATATATTCTTTTGGTTCGAGTATCAGGATATACTTTAATACTAACAGTTAAATAAATATAAACCAGATTGGTCGGTCTAGAGATACAAATTTTCTTGTGCTTTAAATTAATATTGCCATGCCGCCCAGGCGTGCTTTCTTTGGCAAGTTTATAAGTTGAAATCTGATCCAACTTGCTTGAATTGTAACTCGACACTAGATTATAGAGTAGAAAGTCACATCACGATAAATATTAATTTTTAATTGCAGTTCTCTTCACGATTTCTTGTTGCAAATTTAAATTTCATCACACAAAATTGCAAATATTGTTACAAACGCGACAAACACACTCCTCTCCCACCCTGCCCATAGTATCATTTTAATTTATCACCCAGAATCTGGGTGACACGTGACCAGCCGAAACCAGGGTCTTTCCTTCGCCTCGCGCCGTTCTAAGAAAGACCCTGGGAACGAGGTTGTGAAAGAACAAGGCTCATTTGTCATTATTTTTGAAATATTTTTACTCTTTTAACCATCGTAGCATATCTGCTACATGTTTTAATTAATTCTGTTTCATTAAACGGTAGTACCCCCTGTAGAAAATTAATTATTCATAAACAAAGACGGCGGCTCAAGGAGAAACACATGTTCGCAAATCCAAGGTAATTTCTTTGCTTTTTTCTCGTCCTTTTTCCCTGAAGTCAACATGTTTCTGTTATTATATCTAAAATAGTACACCTATACAATATTTCGAACCAAGATATAGCGAGGAATCTCGCTTTTAAGTTGTGAAATTTTGAAATTGAAATTCGTTGTAGCAAATGTGCTACATTGGTCGATTGTGGTAACCCATCACCTAATCAAACTAGATAATTTTCTGGTTTATTTCTTCAGTTTTTGGCCTATATATTTACAAATACAATAGCACACAATAAAATAATGTTTTGCTCTACTTGTTTATCTTTTACTCAGCTTGTATTTTATGTCATATTTTATCTTTTCTGCAAATCTCAGCTGATAGGTATCATGTTGATGATGTCCTTGACATTGTTGATGGATCGGACAGAGAGTTTAGTGAATTGTCAAGTGACGATGAGTTGGATGATGAGTCGTCCTATCCTGATAGAAGTAATGGTAACACGCAGAGCGAATCTGGATCTGATGATTTCAATTTGTCAGATGATGAGCCTCTTGCTTCGCTTGCAAATCAACAAGATGCTGCTGTTGAATCTGGGTATAAATTCAACAATCGAAGGGCGTTCATCCCGCCATCAGATTTGGAGTTTGTTGATGTTGCTGCTGAACCAGAACCCATAGATAATACTCCCTATGGCTACTTCAAAAGTTTTGTGACTGATGATATGTTTGAGCACATTGCTTTGGAATCGAACAAGTATGGGCATCAGAAAAATGGAGAGTCTACAAACTACTGCAAAGGAACTTGAAACTTTTGTTGGTCTGTACTTCCACATGGGAATAGTAAAGATGCCAAGTGTTAGTAGTTATTGGGAGACAGGTACTCGATACCCACCAGTTGCTGATGTTATGTCGAGGAATCGATTTCAGATTGCTATGCTATCACGATACATCTCCAAGACAACTTGGACGTAACTGAAGAACAACGAAAAGACAAGGCCTGGAAGATAAGACCTTGGTTTGATTACCTGAACTTGAACTTTGGAACTGGTAGAGGGCCCCCTATACTTTTTGCGTGAAGCGTGACAGGCTTATTTTACTTAGCTGTGAAACGTGATCGGGCCCCCTACACTTTTTGCGTGAAGCGTGAAGGGCTTATTTTACTTAGCCGTGAAACGAGATCGATGATTTTCTTAATCTGTGACTCGTGAAAAGGCAAAATATTTTACGTGAAAGCATATTGTGAAGAGGTATAGGGGGCCCTCCTGGTAGTCCATCAGAAAACCAATGTGTTGATGAAGCAATGGTTGCCTTCAAAGGAAGAAGAAGCCCAAGAAATGGGGATTCAAACTTTGGGCTCGATGTTCTTCCACTGGATTTATGCACAAGTTTGACATCTACCAAGGCAAAGGAACTGGCAGAGATGATGATGTTTCTGATTGTGGACTTGGCGGAAATGTGGTCCTTAAGTTGTGTGCATCCCACCCACCTAACCAAAACTTCAAGGTTTTTGCAGACAACTACGTTTCTAATTTTGCCCTGGTGAGTGCATTGGCACAACGAGGTCTCCACTATGTTGGCACCATAGCAAACCACTGTCTGCATGGTGCTCCTCTTAAGTCAGAGAAAGAGCTGAAGAAAGAAGGCAGAGGTTCTTATCACTGTGCTGTAGAGACATCAAAGAACCTATCTCTGGTTCGTTGGCTTGACAACAAGTGTGTAACCGTCGTGTCATATCTTGCGGCTGAACCTGTTGGATCTGTTCAACGATATGACAGGTATAAACGCTATAAATATATATGATAAAATAATATATTATACCTCAAATTCAGAAAGCTAAGTTTGTGCCATGTGAGCATGAAATTTATCATTGAATCATGCTTTACATCATCGCAGATTTCAATCATCACACCGGGTGATTTCTCAACTTGGAGGCTTTCAATTTTCGGTGTAATATATCATTTATATACCTTCCGCTCAGGGAATTTGGTGAAATATTACCCTCAGTCATGATATTTCCTTCGTTTCACCAAACTTCCCTCTCTCTGGGACTAGGTCTATAAACGATAAATATTACAAAGATATGATAGGTATAAACATTCCCTTCAATTTCCAAAAGCTCTCTTTAGGAGGTAAAAAATGAATTATTTGTGTTTTTTCTTTAGATCCCAGAAAAAGCATATAAGTGTTGATCGACCTCATGTGATTGGTGTTTACAACATTGGTATGGGTGGTGTTGACTTGATGGACATGATGTGCACTATATACAAGTACAAACTCAGAAATAAAAGGTGGTATATGTACATTTTTTACCATGCACTAACCATTGCCATTGCCAATGCATGGTCCTTGTACAAATGGAATTGCAAGATCCTAAATTTCAAAAAAGTGTTGCCCATGAGGAAGTTCCAGGCCCATGTAGCATCAGCCTTGTGTTCCGCAGGACAATCTCCACACGGCCGCCCATCACTTGGTTCAATTCCAAAGAAAAGGAAAGTTCAGGTGAATTCTGCTCCTATTGCCGACATCAGATTTGATGGTATTTGCCACTTCCCATCTTTTGGAGAGAAAAGGCAATGCTGTAGGCACTGGTCCAGATGGGTTTTCATTTGTGCTTTGTCAGAAGTGCAATATGCATTTGTGCTTGAACAAAAACCGAAACTGTTTCCATGCTTACCATGTTAAGTAGCATGCATGCAAGCATTGGTAAAGCTAGCAATTACCAACAGGTGATGCTATGAAAATGTTTAACAATTTGAATTATTCATTACATAATTGTATGGTCTCAAAACTATTTAGGTGCATGTTTATCTGCATAGTATGCCTTTTTTTTTTTGTATAAACAATATATTTAAATTATTTTTGCGTTTGCTCTAAGAGCATTAATGCTCATCAAGAGAGCTCACGCACATTACATTTTTACAAAATAATTTTCACACATATTTTACAAACGTCACATATATTAAAGTAAAGTAAGATAAGGTGGTAGCCTTCTCAACCCAGATTAAATCTTCTTGTGTTTCGAATAAAAAGTTGAACATTGTAAAATATAAAACAGTTTTCATCTTCAGTTAACACATCTGAACCAAATAGGAACAAATCAACTTTTTGATTGTCTGAGAGAAGGCACCATCTACTCGGAAATAGTTGAGCAACAGAGGCCAAAAGGTTGTTTCTATAAAAATCATACTTAATGCAATGGAGGAAGAAATGAATCGCATCTTCGTTCGCGTGACCGCAAGAACATGCTGGAGAAAATTTTACCCCAATTTTGTTCAGGTAAGTATTAAGTGCCGAAGCACCTAAACGAATACTGGTGTGTAATATTGATGTAAATCTGTCCAACGAATAATCGAAGTACTTAGGATGTTGTTGTAAATTAAAGTATTTTTTCAATTCATTTTTAAAAGTGCCTACACCTTGTGCTGTTCTAATGGAATGATCAAGATCATTCCAGAGTCTAGTGGTAGATGGGAAAAAAGATTTTTTAAAACGTTCGGTACGGGTTGAGAATAAAGAAAAGTTTTGTGAATTTCTTAAATTATGGCTTGTTCTTTCGCATACTCTCGGAGATAACACATTTTTAAGATAGGCTGGAGTAAAATTATTAACTATTTTATAATACATTGTCAGTTTACGAATTAATCGCCGAGTTTTCATTTCTTCCAATCCCAATTCATTACGAAGGCGCACTCTACTTGACCCTTTGAATGCGCCAGTCACCACCTTACTCGCTTCATACTGAACAAGTTCGACGAGCTCTGCTTCTGCATCAGAGCATGCATCCC